GTGAGCCACCGCACTCGGCCACTTATTTTTTGAAACACAAATTGGTTCATGCTAAGCACCTTCGAACACTCCCCATCCTCTGCAGGAGCAGTTTAGCATGGCGACTAAGAACACAGATACTGGAGTTGGAAAAAGCTGGATGCAAATTCTAGATTTTACCACTTAGTGTGTGGCCAGGAGACACTACTTATCCTCTCTAAGCCTCAGAGTTTTCATGTATAAAATGGGGATAATTATTTCTACCCCATAATGTTTTAAGAAAATTATAAAATGATGTAACACCTTTGTTCCAATAGCCAGACAAATTAAATACCTAATAACAATCATTTTAAGATAAAAGTACCAAGTCAAGCAGGCTGGCTCATGCCTGTAATCCTAACACCGGGAGGCTGAGGTGGGAGGACTGCTTGAGCCCAGGAGTTCAAGACCAGCCTGGGCAACATAGCAAGACTTTGACTCTACAAAAAAAAATAAAAATAAAAATTGGCCGAGTGTGGTGGTGCACACCTGCAGACCCAGCTACTCGGGAAGCAGAGGTGGGAGGGTAGCTTGAGCCCAGGAGTTCGAGGCTGCAGTGAACCATAATCGCACCACTGCACTCCAACCTGGGTGATGGAGTGAGATTCTTTTTAAAGATAAAGTCCAAATTACTTACCATGGCCCTTTATGATCTGGTCACTGCCTACCTGTTCAGTTTCATTTCCCATCAATCCTTCTTCACATTCTACACTGTTACACTGTTTCATATCTTTTTGCTTTTGCATATACAATTTCCTCTGCCTAAAAAGCCTAATCTCCAGTGCTTTGTCCAGTAAGTGAACTCTTTAAGACGCTGACCTCAGTTTTTGTCCTATGAACCTCTAGGGCTTTGTATTACATCTATTTTCCTGTCTACCTCCCACCCTAAATAGTGTTTCTTGAAAGCAGAGATAAATGGAGAAAACACAAAAAACTAAGAACAGACATGGGAATTCACCTCAGATGTCGAATCAGATCAATGTTGAACAAATTTATAGAAAGGACCTAAAGTTATCATTCCGAACTAACTGAATGTAACTCATGGCTCATGGTTTATTCACGTTTTATTCTTTTATTCTTTTTTAAAAATGCAGAGGTCGGGAGGCTGAGGCAGGAGAATGGGCTGAACCGGGGAGGCGGAGCTTGCAGTGAGCCGAGGTCGCGCCACTGCACTCCAGCCTGGGCGACAGTGTGAGACTCCGTCTCAAAAAAAAAAAAAAAAAAAAATGCAGAGGTATCATCAATGTGATGAGGGTTGAACGTTAGCAGGTTAGGAATCTAGCATTTGGACATTGTTTTTGGTGTGTGGAGTAGCTGTCGAGGAACACGTATTCAGAGCAGGTCTTGAAAAATGCTTCAGTCCAAGGCAGAAAAGGTCTGACAGAGAAACAGGACCTCTTTCTGGTATGCAAGTTGGGCTATGTGAACCTTTAGTCAACACTTCAATGTAGCAGAATTGGATTTATTAGTTTTTATTTTAAAGGCATGTTGTTCCCTAGAGGAAAATTTTGACAACTCAAATTCAAATAAACGAATTTGTTAAGGGAGAGACGTCTATAGAAGATTCCACCACAGGAACTACCAAATGAGCAATCAGAAAAGCCAGAATACTAAGTATCTGGAAGTAGTCTCTGTTATAAAGTGATTAATGACTAAATACTTTAAAAGAAACATATTTGCGAATACTATGGCTATGAGGGCTCTGAGACTAGAAAAAGTGTGGCCTGCACAGTTAACAGTCATAAAATACTACAAAACACGACGCAGGCAAATTTCCTTCTACTAAGAGGTGATTACAAACAACTATTTTACTGGTGTCAATAAACCAAGTCATATTTCTTTCTGAAATCCAAGATGCCAGGTTTATCACATACCAAGTACACGCTTGAAGAAAAAAAAAATATTGCCCCCTAAAAATTATTAGAAAAACATCTTTCAGAAGGGGGTAGGGAATCTACTCTTAATTTCTTAAGAATTCCGTCAAAAGGGCAGAAATCTGGACTTCATTAACAACGCTCAAGTTTTGGACACTGCTGTGATGCCTGAGAAGCAAGTGCAAGCAAGGTTGACCTCGTTTTGCTTTCCCCGGCGTAGTCAAGGAAAGTGACAGATGTCTTAAGGGAGTCGACCCCGGGGGAGCTGCCAGGGGATGCTGTCAGTCTACAAAACTGGAGAGGCTCAGAAAAGGGATCAGCGCTGGGATAGAGGGTGGTAGCAGCGGCGAGGAGCGGCTGCGCGAGGATGTCAGAGACGGGCGCGGCGGCGAGGCTGTCACAGGGCGGCCTCCCCCCACCCAGCCTCGGGCCCCAGTCACTCACATGCGGGGCTCGCGCCCCCTCGGGCTCCTCCCGCCTCGCGGACAGCTGCCGCCGGGCAAGGAGGATGGGCAACTTCCTGTTTCCGGGAGCGCGACCCGGAAGCAACTCCCACTCCATGGGCGAGTTCTCGTCCCCTACAGTAGTTTCTCCTCTCGTCCAGCGCTTCCGCCCAAAACGGAACACTCAGCCCCGTGGCGAGCGCTGGAGCTCTCGCGATATCTGGAGAGTGCAGGTTATTGCTCCCCCTGGCGTCCTTCTCCCGATCGGGCTCTTTTCGCCCTAGTCCTAAATCCTTGTCTCCGTTATTTACGTGGGCTGACACACAAACTTCATAGCTGAACTGATCCATTGAACAAGCATTTACTGAGTCCCGTACTATGTGCCAGGCAGTGTGTTAGGCATTAAGGGATGGGAGTGGAAGGGAAACGTGAATGAAGAGCAGCTCCTTCCTTCCGGAAGTTCCTACTCTCGAGAAAGACAAACAAATCCCTCCAATTTACACTCAGTCCACTCATTACTTACTCTGTTGATGAAAACTTCAGCCGAATTAAGTTTAAAGGAGTTTAATTGAGCAATGAAAGATTCGCGAATCAGGCAACTCCCAGAATTGCAGCAGATTCACAGACTACCAGGGTGCCTCATGGTCAGAACAAATTTATAGACAAAAAAAGGCAAAGGGAGGTACAGGAATCGGAAGTAGGGTACAGAAACAGTGAGGCTGGTTACAGCTCAGTGTTTGCCTTCTTTGAACGCAGTTTGAACATTCAGCAGGCTGTGAGTGGTTGAAGTATGGCCACTGGGATTGGCCACTACTCAGTTATTATTACAGATGTATGCTATTAGGTTAGGTTTTCATTTTGTTTGACTATTAAGCTACATTACAGTTCATCTACAAGGACTTAAATATAGAAGGACAGAGTCCTTCTTAGGCCATATTTAGTTTGCCTTAACAATTCCCCTGTTTTGGTCATTTTCTCAATTTTGAGAGATTGACCAAAACCTTAGTCATTGATGTTATCACTGTCATAAGTGTACCTATATGGTTTTGAAACTCACTAGGAAACAGTAGAACAGTGGGTTTTGCAGGGAGAGAATAAGGACTGAGTAGAGGATACCTCCTTATGCTGGAACATCCTGTTTACAGGAGAAAAACAAAACCTGGTCTGTTTTAGCATTTATGTGTTTTTTTAAAGCCTTAGTTTGATTATGTCACATTTAGCATGAGTGACTCCATTTTAGTTTGGTTTGGTTTGTTGGGGCCTAGTGCATGAGCTCAGTCCAAAATAATGGCCTCCCATAATTTTGTTTAAAAAAAATTTCCCACTTTTGGCCAGGTTCTTATTTAGGTGACAGTGTGACCAGAACTTAGGGCCTTAGCACCACTCTCAGTTACCACCATTTTGGGTTTCTGGTCTCAGCATGTCATTCATAGGTTACGGTGCCCTCATGGTCACACATTTCTTTCAGTTTTCATTATTCCAGTTGAAGAGAGACCATTTGACATTCTAGAGATGGCTGCATGGAAGCATTTAAAACCTTTGAGAGAATACAGTGCACCAGGGAGACTATTATGATTATTGGGTGGATAATAGCAAGAGTTAGGAGTATGCTCCTTACCCAGGGTCCCCATAAGCCAAACCACCTAAAATTAAATAGATAAAAGAATGAGCTAGATGAAGAGTCTACTTCCTTGACTAAGTGGTCTTTTCACTAATCCCCTACAACTGAATATTTATTTTTATTGTATTTACTTTTTGAGAGGGAGTCTCGCTCTGTCACCAAGGCTGGAATGCAGCAGTGCGATCTCAGCTCACTGCAACCTCCACCTCCTGGGTTCAAGTGATTCTTCCACCTCAGCCTCTTGAGTAGCTGAGATTACAGGCACCTGCCACCACGCCAGGCTAATTTTTGTATTTTTAGTAGAGACAGGGTTTTGCCATGTTGGCCAGACTGGTCTTGAACTCCTGACCTCAGGGGATCCACCCACCTCTGCCTCCCAAAGTGCTGAGGTTACGGGCATGAGCCATCATGCCTGGCCAGAATTGTTTATAATTTACATTTGCTTTTTTCTCCATAGGCCACAAGTGTCAGCAGCTGCACAGGTACTTCTCTGTTTAGCCAATTCTATTATTTAGTATAACTTTCACAGGAGAATTTAAAATCTGTTGTATAACGATAGCCTTTAAAGTAGAATTTGCTGTAGAGCCTATTATGAGGGAGACATTTCAAATTATTGCCTCTTTTATTCTAAACCATGGAAAAAGGACCTAACAAATGATGTCTTTCTAGAAGAGTGAAGCCCTCTTGTCAATGTTCTCTTTAATTCATGATGTGGGTTAAGAGGAGTTTTGACTGGTTATGAGGCAATATATGTACCACTAAAGTTTGTTACCTACATTGGGCCTTCATCTTTTATCTATTAAGTATAAGGTTATTCATGTTTAAGGCTGGTTGCAAAATCCTTCACAAATAAAAGTATACCCTATAAGTGCATATAATAGACCCCCTTTTAATTTCTATTGTTCATAGAGGCATAAACAAGGAAAAAATATTCAAAGATAAGAGTCTTGTGATAGTAGAAGTTTTGATCTATGATCTTGGAAAAGCTCTTCACATCAAGGATGCCATCTTCTTCTGGGGAGAAACTTTTCTGGTTAGTTTTACCTTAAGGGTTCCAATGGGTGTACAGTTCCAGGAGTGTGGAGGGACCCTTCTCAGTTGTGAGATTATGAACCCAAGGTTTAAAGCTCCAAAGTTTTGCTGTAGTGTGGATGGCAAGGACAGTCTTTCTCTTTCTCTGGTGTTCTCAGACGATCCAATCTGCAGGTTCTAGATTGTGAAGGGATTGTCCTCAGTGAATCACAAAAAGTTTTCTTTGCCTGGTGAAAATACACTGTAATCTACATCAGCCCTGTTGCATGGGAAAGCTTTTATACAACCAGAAAACATGCATTGAAAATGACAATTGAATGAAATCCCTTTATAAATGTTTAAATGGCCCATCAGGTAGCCAAATGCATCTGAAGCTTTGATTGTCTTTCCAGGAATATGGAACCAAACACTGGATTTAAACTATTTCTGCAATGTATAAGTCACCACATCAATATATTAAATTTGGATTATTTTATCTTTTCCGGAACCTTTAATAACAAAAGCTTTAAGGACTCAAGAAGGACAAGGTGGCTGTCCTGGTTCTTCATGAGTCCATGCTTAACACTGGACTTATGTCCTCTTGAATACCAGTTGTTTCTCCAATTTAGGTGTATAGCACTGATAAGTAATGGGTTATTGTGGGTAATTTGACTTAGATCATGGAGTTCATTCAAATTGTATATTTAAACAATTTTAGTATTGGCTGATTTAGCACGATAATCTAGAGCTTGATTTTGAAAGGTTTGTTAAATACCAAAGGTTTAAAACACTGGATATTACAAAATAGAATCTTAGGTTACCAGCCAGGCGTGGTGCCTCACGCCTGTAATCCCAGCACTTTGGGAGCCCGAGGCGGGCGGATCACGAGGTCAGGAGATCAAGACCATCCTGGCTAACACGGTGAAACCCCGTTTCTCCTAAAAATACAAAAAAATTAGCCGGGCATGGTGGTGGGCGCCTGTAGTCCCAGCTACTCGGGAGGCTGAGGCAGGAGACTGGCGTGAACCCGGGAGGCAGAGCTTGCAGTGAGCCGAAATTGCGCCACTGCACTCCAGCCTGGGCGACACAGTGAGACTCCATCTCAAAAACTGCACTCCAGCCTGGGCGACACAGTGAGACTCCCCACTCCAAAAAAAAAAAAAAAAAAAATCTTAGGTTACCATAAGTCATTCATTTAGCCAAAATGATAACCTAAAAAATTTTAAAGGAAAAAACAGTATTTTGATAGGAAGGAGAGTTAGCTTTCCAAACAAGATCCAATGAGGATAGCATGAGGCCAACTGACTGTCTCCTTTCTTTCCTTCCCCCACCAATTTTTTTTTTGTAGTTTACTTAAAAGGTAAACAAAAACCTTTCATTATCTTTTAATATTAAATAAAAATCCTTTCTAAAAGAGAAAACCAAATTTTATGTTTCCTTTAGTGTATTTTTAATGTTAAAGCTAGTTTTTAATAACATTTTATAAATCTATTCAGTTTTAGTTAGTTTGACCATAAGGTAAGATTTTTATAAACCTTTTATAATCCTGTACTATTTTTTTTCTCAGAGCAGAAAAATCTTCTAAGAAAACTCTCTTGTGCTTTTATTCCAATGTCCAATTTATGGGAAAAAAAACTGAATAATGCCATTTTAACTTTAGCCAATATGTTCACACATAGAATCCTTATAATTAATTTTTTTGTTTTTTTTGTTTTTTTTTTTTGAGATAGAGTTTCGCTCTTGTTGCCCAAGCTGGAGTGCAATGGCGTGATCTTGGCTCGTTGCATCCTCCGCCTCCTGGGTTCAAGTGATTCTCCTGCCTCAGCCTCCCCAGTAGCTGGGATTACAGGTGTGCAACACCACACCTGGCTAATTTTTTGTATTTTTAGTAGAAACAGCATTTCACCATGTTAGCCAGGATGGTCTCGAACTCCTGACCTCAGGTGATCCGCCCACTTCGGCCTCCCAAAGTGCTGGGATCACAGGCATGAGTCACCGTGCCCGGCCTCTATAATTAATTTTTATAAACCTTCCACAACTTGTTCAAACCTTTAGCTTTATTTAATTTAAAATAATCCTTTAACCCTCCAACCTAGGCAAAAATTTACATTCCTATATTTTCTTATAATCTCTTACAAAAAACACATTTCATTCTCCTTATACACCTTGCACGTAAACCTATTTTTTCAGTAGTCTCAATCACATATTACAATGTTAACTCATAGCAACTTTTACTTTTGGTGAACACCTTGGTAAGTAAGGGATTTTAATTATGTACTCGGTGTGGAGCCCAGGACCCAGACAGAAATGCAGATAAAGGTCCGACTCTTTCCAGCATCTAACTCCAGGTGTCCCAGGCCTTAACTAGCTGTGAAGCAGGCAGGCTGTACAGTTAAGAGTCATGGTGACATTTTATGAAGCATTTAGGAAGCCTAATCACCTTTAAATTGTACAACATTTCTGGCATAAATTCCTTTTCATCAATTCTTTCACAAGTTACACAGACTATGTATGACATGTTTAGACTTTCTGACTTGCCCTAAACATCCCTCTTTTTAAACAACTAGTCATTTTACTTTAGGACAAGAATTTACCATACAACATCCTTTCTTATATAAAACCCGTTTTCTTTATATTCTTTGTATAACTAGGGGGCATGGCTAATTCCATATATCCCCAGGCCTTATTTAGAATTTAACATCTCCAAAATAAGTCGAACGATTTTCAAAAGTCAAAGCAGTTTATGACCTTAAAGCATATAGCAAAGCTAATATCTGACCTGCATAATTTAGACAAAATGTCTTTATTTTATCAATAATATTTAAAGCTGTTTTTATTTCCCAAAGATTACTAAAGTTACATGAACTAAAAGGCATTACAGTTTTTGCTTTCAAAATATTTAAGTGCTTCTTTTTTGTTTAAGCCAATTAATTAGAGCTCTTTTATATGAACATTACACACAACACATATATAATTAGACAGACAGACAGAAGAAGATTACTATAGTAGTTGTAAGATTTTTCATTTGCCAGTTTTTAAGTTTCTTAATTGGTTAGTGGCTTTATGGTGGAGTCCTTGGAAGAACAGGGCCAGGAAAAGGGTTTCTGGTGCCTCCTGTATTTCCCATGGATTCCAGGCCATTAGAGCCTGAATATCCACTTTTAGTTAACCTGACTTTTAACCATAGCACTCTTTAATAAAGTCCTTTTAAAATTTCTTTTTTTTTTTTTTGAGACGGAGTCTCGCTCTGTGGCCCAGGCTGGAGTGCAGTGGCCGGATCTCGGCTCACTGCAAGCTCCGCCTCCTGGGTTTACGCCATTCTCCTGCCTCAGCCTCCCAAGTAGCTGGGACTACAGACGCCCGCCACCTCGCCTGGCTAATTTTTTTGTATTTTTTAGTAGAGACGGGGTTTCACCATGTTAGCCAGGATGGTCTCGATCTCCTGATCTCGTGATCCGCCCGTCTCGGCCTCCCAAAGTGCTGGGATTGCAGGCTTGAGCCACCATGCCCGGCCTTAAAATTTCTTATTACTGATTTTACTCAGGCCAAATGGTTGATACTTCTGGCTTTTGAACTTTACCAAAGGTAACCTCCTAGGTGCTCAAGGAAGGAAAATTTAAGATAGTCTGTGGAGGAGAAAAGACTAGACAAGGTTATGCAGATATTAAACCAGAAGGGACTTATTTCCTAAGCAGGGAATGAAACTGGAACTGCCAGTGTGAAAGGCCAGTGAGCCATAGCACAGAGCAGTCTCTACTGCCCTTCCCAGAAGGAGTCTAGAGTAGTTGATTTTGAGCTTGCAGAGGCTTTAATTTTTAGAGCTAACTATGCATAAACCGTAAAATTCCTGTTCCCTGGAAAGTGGAGACCAAGAGAAAGTACTGCCATGTGGTTACAAGGTCAAGCTCCCAAGGACGTAAAACAAGATGGAGACCCCATCCAGTTTTTTTGTTTGTTTGTTTCAGGGACCTGCCCGAAAGTTTGTTATTGACCAGCGAGCTTATGGGGTCCTAAGCCCATGTTTTATCCTAAGGTACCCCTTGACCCAGAAAAACAAATTCATAGCACAAATACATCAGTTTAAGACTAGTCTAAGAATTTTTTTCACGTTAATCAAAACCTTACAGAAGAGATAGGTAAATAAACAGTGATTGTTACCATTCATTCAACCATTTGCACAGAGAGAGAGAAGCCAAAAATCCGGTAAGAAATTCTTATCCTTTTGCCGGCATGCCAGGCTTCTGGGTTCCCTTTCCCTCAGTGGCCCCAGTGACCCAACTTGCCACACCATCGCACTGGGGGCCAAGCTGCATCATAAAGGAAAAAAAAATTTTTTTTTCTGACCAGAGTAAAATACATGTGATAAAACATAGACATCAGCCACTCTGCTTAGCAAAATATCAGACTGGCAAGGTTTATATTTGCCTTCAGATGGGCCCCATCATCTTTAATCCAGTCTCTGACTAGGGGTTTCAACACGTGGTCTCTGGGCAAGCTGGGTGCCCTGAGTAATAGAAAAGATAAAAAAGGGAAAGGAAAGAGAGATCCGAGAGGAAGCTTACCTGTGATCCCCAGGTGCTGTGAGAGATCGATGGACACAAGTGGGTCCTGCAGGTACCTTGCATGTTCACTCAGTGCTCCTGGCGGTTGCTAGAAGCTCCACTTTGGATCCCACTCCTGACACCATCTGATAAAAGAAAAACTTCGGCCAAATTAAGTTTAAAGGAGTTTAATTGAGCAATGAATGATTCGCAAATCGGGCAACTCCCAGAATCACAGCAGATTCACAGAGACTCCAGGGGTGACTCGTGATCAGAATAAATTTACAGACAAAAAGGCAAAGTAAGGTACAGCAATCAGAAGTGAGGTACAGAAACAGCGAGATTGGTTAAAGCTCAGTGTTTGCCTTATTTGAACACAGTTTGAACATTCAGCAGTCTATGAGTTGTTGAAGTACGGCCGCTGGGATTGGCCAACATTCAGCTATTGTTACAGGTATATACTATTAAGTTAGGTTTTCAAATTTGTCTGACTATAAAGCTAGGTTACAGTTCATCCACAAGGACTCAAATATAGAAGGACAGAGCTCTTCTCAGGCCATATTTAGTTTTCTTTAACAGTGTGACAGACTGTACTAAGCACTTTCAATTCATGGAGCCACTTCATCAACTCTATGGCATAAATAGCCCCATAACATCCTCATACAAACAAAACTGAAGTTTATGGAGAGGTTAACTCGCTCAAGATTTTACAGATAAGGAGTGGAAGGATCAGCATTTGAACCCAGACTCCTTATTCTGCCCTGTGTGTAGCGCCAAAGCTCTTAACTGCTTTCTACAAGAAATCTGCAAACAAAATACTACTGGGTTCAGACTAATGCTATAGCTACAGAGGTAGTGTGACAGTGATGTAAATGTATGAAACCAATGAAACAGAATAAAGAGACCAAAACCAGAAAACACGTACATGGACACTTGATTTATGACAAAGAGGTGAAACAGAGGAGTGAGGAAAGGATAATGCTTTCAATCAATGGTGATGGGTCAATTTTATATCCATATAGAAAAAAATGAAACTTGGCTCCTACCTCATACCATACACCAGAATAAGTTCTAGATGCATTGCAGATCTATATGATAAAAATAAGGCCAGGCGCCGTGGCTCATGCCTGTAATCCCAGCACTTTGGGAGGCCGAGACGGGTGGATCACGAGGTCAGGAGATCGAGACCATCCTGGCTAACACAGTGAAACCCCATCTCTACTAAATATATAAAAATTAGCCAGTCGCAGTGGCAGGCGCCTGTAGTCGCAGCTACACGGGAGGCTGAGGCAGGAGAATGACTTGAACTCGGGAGGCGGAGCTTGCAGTGAGTGGAGATTGCGCCACTGCACTCCAGCCTGGGGGACAGAGTGAGACTCCGTCTCAAAACAAAACAAAACAAAACGGAATTATAAAGCTATAATGTTGAGATATGCAATAATGTCTGTCCAACACTGAGATGTTCTGCAAGAGAGAAAATGCATATGTTGGACTACATTAAAATTAGAAACTTTCCAGTGTTATATTCTGTCCAGGATATATAAGGAACTTTACAAATAAGAAAACATAGCCAAATAGAAAAATAGGTAGAAGATTTGAACACAAAAAGATATCACAAAGAGGATATCTAAATGGCACACATATGGAAAAATAATTCAACTTCATTAGTCATTAGTTGTTAGTGAAATTACTACTGAGATATTATTGTAGAGGCTTCAGGATTCCTTAAATGAAAAAGACTGGCAATACTAAGAGTTGGCTCAGAAGCAGAGCAACAGTAATTCTCACAGGCTGCTGGTGCATACATAAATTGCTACAGCCACTGGCTGGGCGTGGTGGCTCATGCCTGTAATCCCAGCACTTTGGGAGGCCGAGGTGGGCAGATCACAAGGTCAAGAGATCGAGACCATCCTGGCCAACATGGTGAAACCCTGTCTCTAGTAAAACTACAAAAATTAGCTGGATGTGGTGGCGTGTGCCTATAGTCCCAGCTACTTGGGAGGCTGAGGCAGGAGAATCGCTTGAACCCAGGAGGTGGAGGTTGCAGTGAGCCGAGATCATGCCACTGCACTCCAGCCTGGCGACAGAGTGAGACTGTGTCTCAAAAAAAAAAAAAAAAAAAAAAAAAAAAAAAAGTCTACAGTCACTTTGTAACAGTCTAGTGTTAACTACTAAATTATACATGTTACCTATGACCCAGCAATTCTGCTTCTAGGTATATACTCCCAAAAATTCATGTACAAGTGCACTAAGATACATACACAAATATCCATCACAGCACCATTATACATTGTGGTACGTTTGTACAACAGAATACTACACAGCAAGGAAAAATGAAAAATGGCCAATACATACAACATGAATATATCTCACAAACATATTGCTAAGGAAAGGAAGCCAGGCACAAAAAAATACGTACTTTATAACTCCATTTATATAAAATTCAAAAACAGGGAAAACCAATCTATGATATTAGAAGGCAGAAAGTGGTTTACCCTTTGGGAGGAAGGAATGGGTAGTGATTGGTAGGGGGGCTTCTGAGGAATTGGAGACATTTTATTTCGTGATTTGATTTGACCCCTCGTGGCTTCTGGCTAACTCCAATTTATTTTCTGGATCTCAACCCAGGCTATCACTCCAGGGGAAATTTTTGACTGTCCAAACCTACTCTGGAGTAACCAGAGCTCAGGGAAAACTGTGTGTTTCTTTCTCTCTTTTTTTTTTTTTGAGACGGAGTTTCACTCTTGTTGTCCAGGGTGGAATGCAATGGCAAAATCTCTGCTCACTGCAGCCTCCTCCTCCCGTGTTCAAGTGATTCTCCTGCCTCAGCCTCCCAAGTAGCAGGGATTACAGGCATGCACCACCATGCCCAGCTTATTTTGTATTTTTAGTAGAGACAGGGTTTCACCATGTTGGTCAGGGTGGTCTTGAACTCCTGACCTCAGATGATCTGCCCGCCTCGGCCTCCCAAAGTGCCGGATTACAGGTGTGAGCCACTGCACCCAACTTACTGTGTGCTTCTTATTACAGTCCTCATTCCACGCTCCTTTAGCTACGTATTTATTTGCCTATCTCTCCTAGAATGTGAGTTTCTTTAGGGCAGGGCACTGTGTGTGTGAGACTCATCTCTGTCTCCTCAGTGCCAAGTGACTGGTAGGAGCTGCAGTAAAAGATTTAGGAAGAAAGTGATCATGATCCTGGGTGGCTTTTCAATATTCAGACATTGGAGCCTGGGAATGGCACACGCCTCCCAGGATATACAGTAAGGAACTACATAAAGTCCAGAGAAGGGCAACTCAAATTAACAACAGACTAAACAGACCAAGGATTAAGACTTTTTCATCCAGTTCAAGGGCCACAAGGTGGGCATGAACTTCAGATTGCAGGAGGTGTAAAAATTATACTTTAGCATTTATCAGTTTAAAATGTAGTGTTCCGTTCATTATTCATTCAACAAAAGCTGAGCACCCTATGCTCAGTACTGTGCAAGAAGAGCACAAAGATGAAGGATGCCCAGCTCTCTCTCAAGGAGCTGTCTAGTTTATCTTTACAACCTTGTACATCCTTATTCCTTGTTGACAATTAGGGACACTACAGTTGAACTGTCGTTAAGAGCACAAGTGCACCAGCTGTAGTACTTTAAGCAAGTTATTTAATCTGTAAGGCTCAGCTTCCTCAAAGTAAAATGGGAATAGTAATATCTACCTTGTGGGGTTTTGAAGATTAAGCGTGAAAATACGCAATAAAATGCTTAGCTTGATGCCTGGCACATAGTAAACATTCAACCATCATTATTAAGTGGTGTGCAAAGCATTTACAGCATAAGTTTAGTTACTCTATTTCATTCTTGTCTTCCCTCCAAACATTATAGCTCCTCTAATTTGCTTCTCTTCCTCGGGCCCTGCGCAAACCCTCCTAACAACTTTCAGGTACCATCTATCCCGACCAATGATGTTAAGCCTTGTTCTTGCTCTGATCCCTTTGTCCTGCTTTCTCCTGTCTCTTCCTTTCTTTATCTCCCATTTTCTTCCTGCCCCTTCCCTCTCTCTTCTCCTCAGACTCCTTGTCTTTGGATTCTGCAGGCTCAGATTTGCTTTACGCCTATGGAAAAACAAGTATTTAACTGCCGAGTCTGTTTTCAGATCTGAAAAATGGGAATAATACTATCTACTTACAGAATTGTTTTGTGGAGTAGATGAGATAAGAAAGTGCAAGCACTGTGTACATCGTACAGCGCCTTACAAAAATTCTTTACTGGCATCTCTAAACTGTTCCCTTTCATTCTCTGCCTCCCCTTCCCGTCCCTGCCCAATTGTGAGACTAAGAAATTCTTCGAATTTAATGTTAGGACATAACTCCAACCAGAGCCTAGCTTTTCTGGTTGTTCCCGCCTTCCATGCCTAAACGAACCAATCAGATCGCCCAGAATGGCGCCACTTGGAGACCACCGCGAATGAAGTTTGCATTTTTCTCTGTTCTCGCGCCCAGCTTCTTCTCGCCTCCCACCTCAGCTTCCCGGCATTGGAAGAAGGGACCGTCCTCTTCCTCGTCCTGGCCACCCAAATCCTGGTATCGAAAGGGTTGAACGGCGGGGACCGGAAGGGTGCAGCAGCGGCGGGTCCCCAGCTAATCGACGCCGGAAGTAGCAATTGCTAGAGAAGCATTCCGCCGCCGGCTTCGCTATGGCGGCAATTCCCCCAGATTCCTGGCAGCCACCCAACGTTTACTTGGAGACCAGGTGAGGGGGTTCGGGCCTCTGGGGCTGGCAGAGGAGATACGGAGCCCGGGCCTCACCACGGGTCTCCGTTCCTGGCGCGTTCCTCCGGGAGGCCGGCCTCCACGTGGAGGGGCGTGGAGCAGCGGCCGAGACGGCCCCCAGAGGGTTGAGAGGGGACCGCCATCGCCCGCGTCCAAGCTCCGCGCGGTCTTCTGCTGAGCTGCCTGATTGTCCTCCTTCCTCCAGTCCACTCATTCATTCATTTGTTCATTCATTCATTCATTCATTCATTCAACAAGCGTGTAATGAGTCCGCAAGCCAGGCACATAGGATATGAATTCTGAGGAGATAGCGGTAGATAAAAAACACACAGCCCTGCCTTTAGGGGCTTACGGTATAATGAAAGAGACAGACATGTAAACATTACGTGATAAGTAGTACAGTTGTAGAAACAAATTCCAATAAAATACAGGAAGAAGCACATTTTCCCCACTATCAAAGAGTGATGTGGTAACCAGCCTGCTAGCGCCATGCCCCGCTGTATGTCATCTCATTTAGTTTAATCTTAGCAACCCAAATCATGAAGGTATTATTTAACTTTCTCCCTTTCAATATTAGCAGGAGGAAACGCCACAATTTACAGATTAAAGCCTTGACCAAAGCCACACAGCTAGTAACTGGAAGAACCTCGTTTGGAGCCTGGTGTGCCCGTCTCACCTTGCAAGTTCTTTAGCTCTATTCATTCCATTGCCTCTTTGGAAAAAGCTCAAAGTGATCTTTACAAAGTAGGACAAGGAAGGGATCCTGCTCAAAAACCTTTAATAACGTCTTGCTGCTATAACAGTATAAAGTAAAAATTTATTAATCCTGACATTCAAGGTGATTTTTTTCATCTGGCCCTTGTCTACCTGCCATTCCCCCTTCAGCGGCCAGGGACCAGCTAAGGTCCTCTGCTTTTCTGTTCTTGCCCATTGCTGCTTTCAGCCAAAGCAGAGTTCTGTCAGTCCTCTCTGTATTTGCTCATGCTGTTCATGCTCCCTGGCCATCTTCCCCACCTTCTTATATGGTAAAATTCTACATCTTCAGGCTCCAACCTGTAGTTTCTGAATTCTCCTGTTGGTATTTTTTAAAGTTGCAAAATAAATTGCTAAATCCAAGCAATGTGGACATACAGAGTAAGAAGTGAAAGCCACCTCCTTCCTGAAAACACTATCAATGGTTTGTTGGATAATTGTCCAGACCTTTTTCTATGTACACATAAACCTCTCTTTTATGTTTTTTTAACATAAAAAAATGGGATCATATGATCATACTCTATGTATGTTTTTTCTGTAACTTGGTTTTCTTTCACTCAGTAATTCAGCTAGCTGCCCATAGGATGAATAGTTGATATTTTAGGTATTTCCTATTTCAAGGACATTTAAGTTGCTTCCTTTTTTTTTTTTTTTGGCTATGACAAATACTGAGATGAATATCCTTGCACATATTGTATCCTTAGGCAGTTTTGTATATTTTCCTAGAGGATACTTGGAAGTTGAAATTGCTGAGGTATGCACATTTCAGAATTGTATATGTACTTCCTGATTGTCTTTCCAAATGGCTACTTCCTGTATGTTGAAAATATCCACCAGAATGTAAGCTTCATGAGGGAAACAGTGCCTAACATAGTGCCACGCACAGAGTAACTGTTGGTCTGTGTTGAATGGGAGCAGTGTGAAAGATGAATTGCAGGCAGGAAGGCTGTTAGCTATTTTCTAGCACATTCCTCATATACTAATAGAGTGTTTACACTGTGCAAGTCGCTGGGCATTCAGACTATACAGAGATACAGAGTTGACTCAGTTCTCACATCTGGCCTGGTGCCATAACTCACATCTGTAATCCAGCACTTTGGGAGGCCAAGGCAGGTAGATTGCTTGAGCCCAGGAGTTCAAGACAAGCCTGGGGAACATGGCAAAACCCCATCTCTACAAAAAAATACAAAAAATTAGCTGAGCTTGGTGATGCGTGCCTGTAGTCCCAGCTACTCAGGAGGCTGAGGTGAGGGGATCACTTGAGCCCGGGAGGCGGAGGTTGCGATTAGCTGAGATTGTGCCACTGCACTGTAACCTGGGTGACAGAGGAGACCCTTTCTCAAAAAAAAAAAAAAAAAAAATTGTCACATCCTTGGAGCTTAAAGTCTAGGTATGTGTTGGAGTAGAGGGGAAGGCACCTGTCCTTTCTCTTACCTCTTCCTTATCTTTTAGTAGTACTGGGGAGGAAAAAACACTCATCCTATTGGGTAGGTGCAAAGATTCAAAGTTATCAGGTTTTGCCTTTGTTATACTCTCTCCCAAACAAACACAAACTGTACCTTTTATTAAAATTTTTTGAATAGGTAATATATTTACTTGGATCAAAAATACAAAAGTTTTTAAAAGGTATTCATTAAACATCTTCCTATTTTCCATCTACCCAGTCCCTACCCCCACCCAGAAACTTCTAAATAAATATGAACTCCTGATATTTTAATGTCTCTTTTTTAAAAAAATTAAAAATTAAGTGTAATAATTTTTTTCCTAATTTAGAGGTTGGTTATATGGTTTCAGATAATCAGATATATATATAGAGAGAGAGTATTAGAATTTTGAGTTCTCCATGCTTGTAATTTTGCTGAAAAGAAGTACCCAGAACACCTGCATGTTTTACTCAAAAAAGATAATTGGTGTTTATATTACTTGCATTGTGGTGTTTTCCTTTGCTGAGCATGAAATCCAGTGGTTATCACAATTTCATGACTTACAAGCTTGAAAATCAAGAGTCCTGGAGCAATCCCATAATATTCCTGTCTGCCTTGACCTTGTTCTTTACTGGAGCTGTTGTCCTCTCCCTCTGCAGCATGGGAATCATTGTGCTGGAGCTGTACTGGAAGCATGCTCCAAAGACCTGTAAGAACTTTGCTGAGTTGGCTCGTCGAGGTTACTACAATGGCACAAAATTCCACAGAATTATCAAAGACTTCATGATCCAAGGAGGTGACCCAACAGGGACAGGTACAGTTAAGCCAACATTAGTTTATGTTTTCTTTTTTTTTTTTTTCCCTTTTTGTCTTTTTTTTTCTAAAGCCAACATTAGTTTCTGAAGTCTCATAAATAGGCGATAAGGCAGCCAGAGCTCTCTTTTCCACTGACTAAGGTCTGTGTTGGTTGATTCTGGTGACAGCTCCTTCCTTCATCAAACACACATGTGTGGAATTGACCAGAAACCAACTTTTATTCCTAGGCTTGGTAGAGATTTTCGTAACTTACATGTACTGCTTACTAAGAACAAATAATATTTGTCTGAATTATATTGATGCAAGTAGTCTGATCAATAAAAAGGAAAGACTTTATAATATTTTGAGAATAATAAAATCCTGGGTTCTTTTATCGATTCATTCATTTAACAAATGAGTGTCTGTTTTGTGTCAGATACTTTTTTAAGCTCTAGGGAGATACCTATAAAGAAAGAGACAGAATTCTTGCTCTCTATAAAGCAGGAAAAGGGTGTGGGGATGGAATTTTAGTAGAAAAGTCAAGGAACTCCTCTCTGACATTATTGGAGAAGAGATCTGAAAGAAGTAAGAAAGTGAACCTTGTAACTCGGGGGAAAACATTTTGGATGGAGGGAAGAGCAAACACAGAGGCCCTGAGGCAGAAACCTGTGCTGGAAATCATAAGGTATGATACTTTACAGGGCGTGGTAGAGACTGGGTTTTACTCTGAGTAAGATCTGAGCCTTTGGAGAGTTTTGAGCAAAGGAATGCTGTGATCTGATCTATGCTTTAAAAGGATCACTCTAGGCTGGGCACAGTGACTCACGCCTGTAATCCCAGCTCTTTGGGAGCCCGAGGCGGTTGCATCATTTGAGGTCAGGAGTTCAAGACCAGCCTGACCAACATGGTGAAATGCTGTGTTTACTAAAACACAAAAATTAGCCAGGCAGGGTGGTGGGCACCTGTAATCTCAGCTACTCGGGAGGCTGAGGCAGGAGAATTGCTTGAACCCAGGAGATGGAGGTTGCAGTGAGCAAAGCTCGTACTACTGCAGTCCAGCCTGGGTGACAGATCAAGACTCCCTCTCAAATAAATAAATAAATAAATAAATAAATAAATAAAAGGATCACTCTAGCTGCTGTTTAGAGAATAGATGTAGGGGCAAGATGTGACCACTATGTAAATAGTTGTACTGTATTGTTTGGGGAGTAATGACAACAAAAATAGTTCTATACATGTTCGGTACAGATGCTTGATATTTTCTATCGTGGTTAGTTGAATCCATGAATGTAGAATCCACATGTAGGGAGGGCCAACTATGCTCGTGAGTAAGTAGTTGGATAGGAATATGGGGTTCAGGGAAAGACCTGGTATGGAGGTATTAATTTGGGAGTTACTGGCATTTAGATGGGGTTTATTAGTGAACTGGTGGAACACTTACTCATTTCAAGGGCCCTTGCTTCTCAGTCTGCTTTTTCTCTGCTAATATCTGCTCGTTTGCCTTTAAACAAGTTTGGTTTTCTCTGTGGCAGAGTCTTTTCTCAGTCTTGTTCTTTTTTGTCATTCTCAATTGTCTCATGATTTATCTAAACTATGGTCAGAAGCATTCAGGTGTTTTTTTGTTTTTTGTTTTAATGTATATGGATGCATTTCAAAATACAGAATATATAAGAAAACAGAGAAAAGGGGAAAAATCATTCATAAGCATAGCTCCTAAAGATTTCTAACCATCATTAACTAATCCCTCAATATCCCACCTTTCAGAAAGGAACAGTGTTAACTTTTGGTGCCCATCATTCTAGACGTGTTTCTTTTCAGATGTCTGGTTTAAAGGATAACAAGATAAATGGAAATAGTTTCAAAAAATAGGATATATTATATATGCTATTGTTTTTAAAGCAGAACATACTAC